AGTGATTATGTGTGAGTGAGGTGAAAGTTTTGAATGATGATGAAAGTATTTTGTTTTTGGGGATTTTCTTTCTTTTTGGGTCACCTGCCTCGGTGGGAGACGGCCAACTTGTTGATTTTTTTGTTTTTAACAAGTCTGCCGTCCCAAATACCATTCGTCTCCATTCACTCCTATCGAACACGCTCCCGCACGCCTGCTGGAAGTTCAAGCCCCTGCCCAAAAAAAACTCCCTTACCCCTTCCTTCCAACCTTTTTGAGGACGACCCCTACCCCGCCTTCCTACCCCTACAGATTTAAATGCTCTCCGTGTCATTCTACTTTGATCCATTCTCTCTAATTGACCAAACCACCTCAACAACCCCTCTTCAGCCCTCTAACTAATACTTTTATTAACTCCACACCTTCTCCTAATTTCCACACTCCGAATTTCCTGCATAATATTTACACCACACATTGTCCTTAGACAGGACATCTCCACTACCTCCAACCGCTTCCTTGCTTTTGCATTCACAACCCAAGCCTCACACCCATATAAGAGTGTTGGTACTACTATACTTTCATACATTCCCTTCTTTGCCTCTATAGATAACGTTTTTTTTCTCCACATATACCTCAACGCACCACTCACCTTTTTTTTCCTCATCAATTCTATGATTAACTTCATCCTTCATAAATCCATCCGCCGACACGTCAACTCCCAAGTATCTGAAAACATTCACTTCTTCCATACTCCTCCTCCCCAATTTGATATCCAATTTTTCTTTATCTAAATAATTTGATACCCTCATCACCATACTCTTTTCTATTTTAGCTTTCAACTTTCTACCTTTACACACACTCCCAAAGTCATCCACTAACCTTCGCAATTTTTCTTTAGAATCTCCCATAAGCACAGTATCATCAGCAAAAAGCAACTGTGTCAATTCCCATTTTGTATTTAATTCCCGAAAATTTAATCCCACCCCTCTCCCGAACACCCTAGCATTTACTTCTTTTACAACCCCATCTATAAATATATTAAACAACCATGGTGACATTACACATCCCTATCTAAGACCTACTTTTACCAGGAAGTAGTCTCCCTCTCTCCTACACACCCTAACCTGAGCCTCACTATCCTCATAAAAAACTCTTTACAGCATTTAGTAACTTACCACCTATTCCATATACTTGCAACATCTGCCACATTGCTCCTCTATCCAGTCTATCATATGCCTTTTCTAAATCCATAAATGCAATAAAAACTTCCCTACCTTTATCTAAATACTGTTCACATATATGCTTAATGTAAATACTGTTGTATTATCTTAAGCCTTCAAGGATGGTTCCTTGATGCTGGTGACGGCTCTGATCTAAGGAATTGGACCTGTGTTCCAATTCCTTGAATTGAGTCTGAATGCCTTCCATTCACCTAGGTGCTGTATGGTCCCTATGGGTTTAGCACTCTCCATGAATGTACAGTAATAATAATTACCTTAAGCATCTTGATAAGGTAATTAATAATATACATCACATACACTATATATATAATTTTATTGTTTATTGCAATACAATATCACATTTTTCTAGGCTTTTTACAACATATACTTTTTCACAATACAAAATGAGGCAAAGATTAGCGTATGTTGTAGTTTATGTACATAAAAAAATGTAATCTTATTTTTTTTAAATTATTTGTAAAGTTACTGTACTCTTATCAGATTATTTTCTTGAAATATACAGGTGCATATTTACACAATCAGCAATTATAATATAATTAATAGGCAAATTGAGAGAATATTTTATCATACCTAAGTAATGTACAATATACTAAAATAGAAAAATGTACAGGAACGTGTAGACTTATTCTTAAAAAATGAAGGTAATACTGTATTAATTATTTTCACTTAAACTATTTGTAGCACAGGATTATTATTATTTTTTAACACTGAGGCAGGGTGGCATTATCATTATAAAAATGTGCCAAATCTATACTGGTCGTAAAGCACTACAAGGCTGAGAAATAAACAACGTTGGCATAACAGGTCAGTATCAGTCAAAATGTCAGTGTCTTTGGGCTGAGGGAAGGGCTTTTCAAAAGGAGAGGAGCCAGAGTGAAGACACCCAGGCACTAAAAAAAAAAAAATATAAAAAAAAAAAATAAACTGGGCCTCTCCTTGCGATAGGTTTTGTGGCCCTAACATCACATGGAACTTTTCCCCAACATGATGGTAATGAAAAAACCCAACCAAGACCTAGACTGGGGTTTGTCAATAAACAGCTTGTTTTCTTCCCCAGCCCAATGAAGTGCCATCGCCCAAAGTGATCGCCCCTTGTGGGTTTAGTGCTTTTTTTTGATCATCATAATGTCAGGATCGAGCAAAACTGGAAAAAAGTTAAAAGGGCGATTCCGTGAGTTGATAGGTCTTAAATACAGAACGTCAAAAAAGACCCAGTTTTTTCCCCCAAACACCGAATAACTTGGGACTATAAAATAATGATTTTTGCTTACAAAAGAGTGACAGTCAGTTTTGGCATGAAGGATGTGGGTGTGTGAATCAGCTCCAAAGATCTTGAAAAGTCTAAAAGTACGTAATAGAGGCACAGTGGTTTAGACAAAAGTCGGAGAAGGTGTTCCCCACAAAACCCCAGGTAGGATATTCAATGTTTTTTGGACTTCAGTTGGATCCACAAATTTCTGCACCAGCAATGTGAAGAGAGGGGATGAGGGGGGAGTATTTGTCTCCCTATTTTTGCATTTTTTTTTCCACATTTTCATTAAAAGAAGGGGTGGCTTTTTAAAATTTTGAAACTATACATATGTAGCTGTTATAGACACATCAGGCATGTGCCCCACGTTTAATTATCTAAATAGAGGAGTATTGTAACAGACAAGTTACTTTTGATGTTTGATTTGGAAGGCTTAGCGCAGTCGTTAACCCCAAAGGTATGCATTTTAAAAATATTACAGCTGTGCTAACTCCATTCGGTTTTTCCATGCATATTTTTTCAATTAATAAATAATCATGAATGGGGGCATCCATGGTAAAAAAGGAAGAGAATGTTTTGTAAAAAAGAAACAATTTAATATTCTGATGCAGGGGAGCAGGGATGAGGGGTTTGGGAATGGAAGAAAAAATGATAGAATAGTGGGTACCCCATGAAGAATTTACTGCCCCCCAATTAAAGCCCAGAGCTGAGAAGTTGAGCAAATCTAGAACTTGTTCCCAAAAAGGGGAATTTGATTTTGTCCCAAACATGAGTCAACTCCAAACGTATTTGGCCAGTAAAAAAGGGGAAAAGAATGAACAAAAGGGTCATAGAGTCCAATGGGACCTATTCAAATAAAATGATGGTGTTACCATCTAAAAAAAATAATAAATCAGTTTAAAATCCATTATGCACCCCATACCCTCTGGGGTATGGGTCGGGTGGGTTTCCCCAAAGTTTGATAGCTAAACAAGGTTCAGGTATAGGACATTTAGAAATTGCAGGGCATCTAAAGAGAGAAAAAAGACATTGTGTAGCACTTATCAAACGTATGGAAAATCAAGTGAGAGTTTGGTAAGCAATCAGTATTGGAACATCGTTACACTAAAAGTACATTATCAAGTAAACTTGGGGGAAAAAAGGAACGACTGAAAAATCGCCATGAATGAAAAGCCAATAACCTGGCAGAGTTGCTTCTTTTTTTTAAAGACAAATGATTTCAGGAGAAAACAGGGAGATCAGCACTGAAGCTCTACCAATTTTTTTTCCCGTATCCTCTTAAAAATTTTACTGTAAAACAGACATAGGCTAAATAAAAAAAAAAGTTGCGTGAAAAGCTATGTGGACAAAAAGCAATTGTCAGATTCTGATGGGAAAAGTAAGAGGTCCTAAAAAATTTATTGGTGAGTAAGATTAAAAAAAATAGTGGTTGTAGGGGGCAAAAGAAAGGGGGGGAATTAGCAGTATGTGGAAAAAAACCTATTGCAAAGGTTTGTAAAGGTGCTTTTTGATCATGTCCGGTGGGGGCAAATCTTCGAAGAGACGGAGTTATATCTTTAGCATTCTCATTGGAGGATGTGACAATTTGGGCCATTCCTAAAAAATGGAAAAAAAGGTCCAGAAACTTGAGGGGGAAAGATACATGTGGAAGGGAGGGAAGGCAAAGGGAAATGAAATCTTTGGAAAAGGGGAGAAGACTAGGAGAAGGGGGTGCCACTGACCTACACTATCACTGAAAGCAAAAAACAAAGTTCAGATTGCATGGGTTGGAAATGAGGGAGAATTTCAGGAGATCCCCTTCCCCTTTATGTCAAAAAAAATTGTACGTTTCAAAAATTTAAAAAACAGTATTTTGCGTGGGCTGTGGCCCCCTTGACGAAACGAAACCCCTCAAGGGTGGCCACAGCAAAATGGTCATAAGAACTGAAAAAGGGAAACTATAGAATATACGATTATGGTATAGTTCATGCTGTAAAATGCCCATGTTTAATACGTAATTGTAGGCTCAAAGGAGCCCGTAGCACAAAGCTCTAGATCAGAAGGGAAGAGAAAATGAAAATGTCTTTGGGCTCACAGGGGGGACATGGCATTCATTATAAATTTTACTCATAAACTTTAGTGCACAGTGTAAAAAGGGCCTTTGGAGCTGGTAATGATTCCTGTACCCTGATAGTGCTTATCCCATGCTATCCCGTTTTTCTCCCCCGAGTGCTGACACACTTCTACTAAGGCACTAAACAGATTTACTATGTACATACAGTATTAATCTGGTACGAACGGGTATGATTAGTAAGTAAACAAATTTATTTAGGTACGGTACATATAAAACAGTTAAAAAAAACAACATAGTAAGTGGTTTAAATTTCCTAGGATAGGGTGAGATATAAGAATAAGGCAAAAGGTGGGTGGTGCAAATGAGTGTGGGGGTTAAAGAGGGTTTGGGAAAAGTTTAAAAAAGCGTATTAAATGTGGTGCAAAGTTTGTGGTTATAGGGGGTGGGTGAGGAGGAAAGAGGAGTGATTGGTGGAATGATGAAGTAAAGGGTGTGATAAAAGAGAAAAAGGAAGATTATGAGAGGTTTTTACAAAGCAGAAGTGTTATAAGAAGAGCAGAGTGTATGGAGAGTAAAAGAAAGGTGAAGAGAGTGGTGAGAGAGTGCAAAAGGAGAGCAGATGATAGAGTGGGAGAGGCACTGTCAAGAAATTTTGATGAAAATAAGAAAAAATTTTTGGGTGAGATAAACAAGTTAAGAAAGCCTAGGGAACGAATGTATTTCTCAGTTAAAAACAGAGTAGGGGAGTTAGTAGATGGTGAGCTGGAGGTATTGGATAGATGGTGGGAATATTTTGAGGAACTTTTAAATGTCGATAAAGAAAGGGAGGCGGTAATTTCATGCACTGGTCAGGGAGGTATAACATCTTTTAGGAGTGAAGAAGAGCAGGATGTGAGTGTGGGGGAGGTACGTGAGGCATTACGTAGACTGAAAGGGGGTAAAGCAGCTGGAACTGACGGGATCATGACAGAAATGTTAAAAGCGAAAGGGTATGTAGTGTTGGAGTGGTTGGCATTTTTGTTTAATAAATGTATGAAAGAGGGGAAGGTACCTAGTGATTGGCAGAGAGCTTGTATAGCTCCTTTATATAAAGGGAAGGGAGACAAAAGAGGTTGTAAAAATTATAGGGGAATAAGTTAACTGAGTATACCAGGAAAAGTGTATAGTAGGGTTATTATTGAAAGAATTAGAGGTAAGACAGAGTAGGATTTCGGAAGAGTAAGGAGACTTTAGAGTGGGTAGGGGATGTGTAGATCAAGTGTTTACATTGAAGCATATATGTGAACAGTATTTAGATAAAGGTAGGGAAGTTTTCATTGCATTTATGGATTTAGAAAAGGCATATGATAGAGTGGATAGGGGAGCAATGTGGCAGATGTTGCAAGTACAATGTATATGGAATAGGTAGTAAGTTATTAAATGCTGTAAAGAGTTTTTATGAGGATAGTGAGGCTCAGGTTAGGGTGTATAAAAGAGAGGGAAATTACTTCCCGGTAAAGGTAGGTCTTAGACAGGGATGTGTAATGCCACTATGGTTGTGTAATGTATATTTATAGATGGGGTTGTAAAAGAAGTAAATGCTACGGGTGTTGGGGAGAGGGGTGGGATTAAATTATGGGGAATCAAATACAAAATGGGAGTTGACACAGTTACTTTTTGCTGATGATACTGTGCTTATGGGAGATTCTAAAGAAAAGTTGCAAAGGTTAGTGGACGAGTTTGGGAGTGTGTGTAAAGGTAGAAAGTTGAGAGTGAAGATAGATAAGAGTAAGGTGATGAAGGTATCACATGATTTAAATGAAGAAAAATTGGATATCACATTGGGGAGAGGGAGTATGGAAGAAGTGAATGTTTTCAGATACTTGGGAGTTGATGTGTCAACGGATGGATTTATGAAGGCTGAGGTTAACCATAGAATTGATGAAGGAAAAAAAGTGAGTGGTACGTTGAAGGTATATGTGGAGACAAGAAAACGTTATTTATGGAGGCAAAGAAGGGAATGTATGAGAGTATAGTGGTACCAAATCTCTTATATGGGTGTGAAGCTTGGGTTGTAAATGCTGCAGCGAGGAGGCGGTTGGAGGCAGTGGATATGTCCCGTCTAAGGGCAATGTGTGGTGTAAATATGCAGAAAATTCGGAGTGTGGAAATTGAGAAGGTGTGGAGTTAAAAGTATTAGTCAGAGGGCTGAAGAGGGGTTGCTGAGGTGGTTTGGTCATTTAGAGAGAATGGATCAAAGTAGAATGACATGGAAGTGTATAAATCTGTAGGGGAAGGAAGGCGGGGTAGGGGGTCGTCCTCGACCCCCTACCCCGCGAGGGGCTTGGACTTCCAGCAAGCGTGCGTGAGCGTGTTAGATAGGAGTGAATGGAGACGAATGGTTTTTGGGACCTGACAAGCTGTTAGAGTGTGAGCAGGGTAATATTTAGTGAAGGGATTCAGGGAACCCGGTTATTTTTATATAGCCGGACTTGAGTATTGGAAATGGGAAATACAATGCCTGCACTTTAAAGGAGGGGTTTGGGATATTGGCAATGTGGAGGGATATGTTATATATCTTTATATATGCCTCTAAACTGTTGTATCTGGGTGCCTCTGCAAAAAATCACTGATTATGTATGATTGTGGTGAAAGTGTTGAATGATGATGAAAGTATTTTCTTTTTGGGAATTTTCTTTCTTTCTGGGTCACCCTGCCTCGGTGGGAGACGACCAATTTGTTGAAAAAAAAAGTCAGACGAAGTGACCATGATTTATTTTAGTTGCCTATTCAGAGACTGGATCCAAATTGCATACTGTAAACATAGTGAAATGTTTAAAGAATAGCTTTTATTGGGAAAACATTTTGATATTAAGATGTTTAGTCACATACAGTATACATATTTCAGGCATCTATAGCACTAAGCTATATGTAAACTCAAGCTAGAAATGGTAAATATTTTGTGCCTAAACATATATAGATTAGAAGGTAAACAAAATTAGATAATTTGAAGTACTGTTTTAGCACTCATTGTTTTTCTTGTTCAGCAAATATTTTATCTTGAAACTGACATGGAGGTTGTATATAAGCAACTATTTCTGAGTGGTCTACAGTACTAACATCATCACATTTACTAATTTTGTCATTTATACTTTTAGATGACTCACTTCTTTCGATAATCACATCTTTTTCTGTTTTCACACAACTTTTATTTTCTTCAGCGGTATCTACAGCTCTGGCAAGTTTGTCTTCAATTTTGTTTTCTTGTTTTGCATTTTCCTCTTTTATTGATGTTTCCGTCACTTCATCTTCTTCGACTATTTTGCATTCCTCTGTATTTTTATATGTTTTATGGTCTTCAGCATTTGTTTTACTCACATTAGGTTCAGGGAATTGTTTTGAATTTACATGCACCTCTTGTTCTTTGGCTGCTCTATCTTTCGCTTCATCTTTGCTCTTTATTATATCTGCATCTGATATTTTTTTGTTTTCTACATTTATTTTATTTTCACCACCACTGGAATTGATAACCTTAGTAATTTGTGTTACCTGAAGCTTATTGTTTTCTACTGATTTTTCACTCTCTTTTATTTTAATCTTTGGTGCCGGTGCTTTAACCTTGTGCTCACTATTAGGTTTATGTTCCATTCTCTGAGCTTTATTGTTCCTATGCTTATTTTCATTGACGAAGTTGTCCTTTATACTTAAATTATGTTTTTGTCCTGGACTCCCAGCAAGCATGATAACAGTTTCAGCTGGGCTGCCTCTACCACCACTACCTGAGACAGTGCAAGATGCTGTAGGAGACGATGTTATTGGAGAAGGTGCTCGCCGAGTCTCCCTCCGAAGTGTCGAGGGTGATCTGCTGAAGGATGTATTCTGGTCTTCTATTGCATGGGATAAAAACCGACTGACTCGCTCCTGATAATCCATTGAATTGTAGGGTGGGCGGTCGTCTAACCCTGTTGACCATTGTGTTCCAAGACCACCTCCCAAAGTTTTGCTTCCAAGCAGTTCTGGGTGAGCCTGAAGCAAAAAAGAACAGGATTACAGACAAAATAACTGTAGTTTAATTTTTAAAGAAGTCAGAAAAATGCAGGGATTGTTGAAAGTGTTTGAAAGCAACATTCGTCTTGTGCATGTGATACTATTATAATATACTAGAATCATCAACAGCCGGAAGCAGTAGTATGTATTTACTTATCCTTCAAAGGGAGGGGTGCACCTCTGACAAGACAGTGATAGATTGAATGATGGTGAAAGTAATTCTTCTTTTTCGAGTAACCCGACCTCGGTGGGATTGAGTTTGCGCAATAGGTTGATAATAGCAAATTTAAAGGAAATATCGCATGAACTAAATTTAATAACCGAAATGCTGAGGTATGCTATACACTCAAACCCTGAAATTATATTAAATCTAAGTTATTATTACAGTCCCCTAACTTAACTGGTAATCCAACTCTGTATACCCCTATAATGTAGCTAAAGGAAACATTATATGAGCAAGGCTTACCTGAAGTAGCTGGTAGATAGCAGCGAGAGGTACCTGCTGGCCTGGGTGAGGCAGGGATGCTACGCTGTGACAGTCATCAGCCATGGCTTCCCTTCTGGCGGCGCTGAACTCTGGGGCATGAACTCCTCTCCAGCCAACCTTGGTGGACCAAAGTGACAGCACTAGTTCCAAGGTGAACCCCACCAGCTGGTTGGCGCTCACACTCAACGTCAAGCGGTGCTCTCTGTCCAAGTCGTAGGGCTGGAACCTGCACATAATCCAACTCTAGTGAATAATATACAAAAAACACAAACTGCATGTGATTCGTGAAGTTGTAATCGTCCACAATGAAAATAAACAATGTTCTCAAGTATTTTCGTGTATTCGCAGCATCAGGGAGACAAAGGACAATGTGGGAGAGCAAAGGAGATAAATGAGCTGAGGTAGAATAACAGTTCTTAGCCTGTGAAACTTGTCCGTGTAAAAAAATATTACATGTCATTTATGTAAAGCGCTAAACAGTGTAGGTCCGTTAGTGCATGGCGGACTGAAGTCTCGATCCTCCGATATAAATAATACTGGTGAGGTGTTAAATCAAGGCTAGATATATGTAAATAATAATAGAAGTACTGTAGCAAGCTCACTGACTGCTAAGCTGGGAAAATCACAATTACTTATACGGATTTATTGTTATATTATGAATAAAATACTAATGAAATAATTCAACTTTTAATACCCTTGGGGGGATGTCTTGAAGCTAGGGAAGAGCTTTTGTTTCAGGAAAAATGAAGCAGCTATTCTCTTTCTTTGATTAAACTTAACTGCCTCACATTCTCCAGACACTGTATGACCTCTAAGGACATTACTCTTCAAAACATCCACTATAATAAACCTCTCACATATTTTTAGAGTTAAGGTCAGTCTTAGTTTGGACTTTTGAATACTTTTTTAAATGTCCCGTAGCTCGTTCGCTTGCTTGTCACTGCCTCACTCCCACACTGTAGGTCCAAGTTCGAACTTTTCCGACGGCTGGAAAACATTAGGGACGTGTTTTCCATAGGACACTCTGTCCATGTTTCACCATCATTTTAAATGGTCCGGGTTAGTCGACTGGTGTGGGCCATCCTGAACAAAGCTGACAATTTGAAATTTACTTACGTAAAGTTTTGGTATATGTTTATGTCATTACTGCTGTCTGTTATCATCATGTAAAATAGTTGATAGATTTATTATTTTTTGATTATCTGTTATTATTATATTTATTTAAATATGAGAAAAGCGTTTACATCAAGTTCTCCAAGATGTCTACAAAGATGATTAAGCTCATGGAACCCCGTCACTGTAAGTGAATTATGGAAAGAGTATCTTTCGCATGGGTTGGTGTTCATCCGGGTGGATTTTGGTGTACCCAGGGTGCACTGGGTTTCCTACTCCCCGGGGAAGCTCACAGATGTTTACTATTGTCCCCGGGGTGGCATCTTGGTTGTCGAACCAGGGGTGTCTTGGGTTGTCACCGGGGGCGATCTTTGGTGTCACCCGGGGTGGCATCTTTGGTGTCACCCGGGGTGGCATCTTTGGTGTCACCCGGGGTGGCATCTTTGGTGTCACCCCCATGAAATCCAAGGGCTGGGGGATAGGGGTAGTAAACTGTAGGTACATCACTGCTGCATGACCAGTGACTAATGTTTAGCAATGAGATCGTTTAAAGGTCATAAACCGAACTTTATTAATGATAAATAATCGTAGTAATATTTTTTTTTTTTTTTTATTTTTAATATTGAGGAAACATAAACTCAAACACCACTTTGAGTACACCAACAGATTCTACATTTATTCATCTTCAACAATGAAAAAAAAAACTTGGAAAATAAAGAGAAAAACTAGTTCCAATTTAACCTTGAGTACAGATAGCATCTCAAAGAATTTGATATTTCATTTCCTTGCTTCAATCCTGCAAAATCATCTATCACATCATCAAAATCAATGATTTTCCCTATATAGGCCTATTTGGACAATGTAATCCTATAATAGGCTAAATAGAAACGAAGGATTTTTCTCTTAGGTTGCTGCAGCATGGTTTTGGTCATTAGTACTCACCTAGTTGAGGTTGCAGGGGTCGAGTCCAAGCTCCTGGCCCCGCCTCTTCACTGATCGCTACTAGGTCACTCTCCTTGAACCGTGAGCTTTATCATACCTCTGCTTAAAGCTATGTATGGATCCTGCCTCCACTACATCGCTTCCCAAACTATTCCACTTCCTGACTACTCTGTGGCTGAAGAAATACTTCCTAACATCCCTGTGATTCATCTGTGTCTTCAACTTCCAACTGTGTCCCCTTGTTGCTGTGTCTCATCTCTGGAACATCCTGTCTTTGTCCACGTTGTCAATTCCTCTCAGTATTTTATATGTCGTTATCATGTCTTCCCTATCTCTCCTGTCCTCCAGTGTCGTCAGGTCGATTTCCCTTAACCTCTCCTCGTAGGACATACCCCTTAGCTCTGGGACTAGTTTTGTTGCAAACCTTTGCACTTTCTCTAGTTTCTTTACGTGCTTGGCTAGAAATGGGTTCCAAACTGGTGCCGCATACTCCAATATGAGCCTAATGTACAGTGTACAGGGTCCTGAACGATTCCTTATTAAGATGTCGGAATGCTGTTCTGAGGTTTGCCAGGCGCCCATATGTTGTAGCAGTTATTTGGTTGATGTGTGCCTCAGGAGATGTGCCTGGTGTTATACTCACCCCAAGATCTTTTTCCTTGAGTGAGGTTTGTACTCTCTGGCACCCTAGACTGTACTCCGTCTGCGGTCTTCTTTGCCCTTCCCCAATCTTCATGACTTTGCACCTGGTGGTGTTGAACTCCAGGAGCCAATTGCTGGACCAGGTCTGCAGCCTGTCCAGATTTCTTTGTAGTTCTGCCTGGTCTTCGACCGAATGAATTCTTCTCATCAGCTTCACGTCATCTGCAAATAGGGACACTTCGGAGTCTATTCCTTCTGTTATGTCGTTCACAAATACCAGAAACAGCACTGGTCCTAGGACTGACCCCTGTGGGACCCCGCTGGTCACAGGTGCTCACTCTGACACCTCGCCACGTACCATGACTCGCTGCTGTCTTCCTGACAAGTATTCCCTGATCCATTGTAGTGCCTTCCCTGTTATCCCTGTCTGGTCCTCCAGTTTTTGCACTAATCTCTTGTGTGGAACTCTGTCAAACGCCTTCTTATAGTCCAAGAAAATGCAATCTACCCACCCCTCTCTCTCTCTTGTCTTACTTCTGTCACCCTGTCATAGAACTCCAGTAGGTTTATGACACAGGATTTCCCGTCCCTGAAACCATGTTCGCTGCTGTTGATGAGATCATTCCTTTCTAGATGTTCCACCACTCTTCTCCTGATAATTTTCTCCATGACTTTGTATACTATGCATGTGAGTGACACTGGTCTGTAGTTTAGTGCTTCATGTCTGTCTCCTTTTTTAAAAATTGGGACTACATTTGCTGTCTTCCATGCCACAGGCAATATCCCTGTTTGGATACATGTGTTGAATATTGTTGTTAGGGGTACACATAGCGCCTCTGTTCCCTCTCTCAGGACCCGTGGAGAGATGTTATCTGGCCCCATTGCCTTTGAGGTATCTAGCTCACTCAGAAGCCTCTTCACTTCTTCCTCGGTTGTGTGCACTGTGTCCAGCACTTGCTGGACACAGTACACACTTCTGTCTCCTCTGTGAACACTTCTTTGAATCTCATGTTGAGTTCCTCAACATGAGATTCACGGTCGTTTCTTGTTGTCTCTCCTCCTTCCTTCCTTAGCCTGATTACCTGGTCCTTGACTGTTGTTTTCCTCCTGATGTGGCTGTATAACAGCTTCGGGTCAGATTTGGCTTTCGCTGCTATGTCGTTTTCATATTGTCGTTGGGCTTCCCTTCTTATCTGTGCATATTCATTTCTGGCTCTACGACTGCCCTCCTTATTCTCCTGGGTCCTTGCCTTCTATACTTCTTCCATTCCCTTGCACACTTGATTTTTGCCTCCCTGCACCTTTGGGTGAACCATGGGCTCAACCTGGCTTTTTCATTATTCCTGTTACCCTTGGGTACAAACCTCTCCTCAGCTTCCTTGCATATTGTTGTTACATATTCCATCATCTCATTTACTGGCTTCCCTGCCAGTTCTGTGTCCCACTGAACCCCGTTCAGGAAGTTCCTCATTCCCGTGTAGTCCCCTTTCTTGTAGTTTGGCTTCATTCGCCCGGGCCTTCCTGCTTCCCCCTCCACTTGTAGCTCTACTGTGTATTCGAAGCTTAAAACCACATGATCGCTGGCCAAGGGGTCTTTCATATGTGATGTCCTGAATATCTACACTACTCAAGGTGAATACTAGGTCCAGTCTTGCTCGTTCATCCTCTCCTCTCTTGTTGTGTCCTTTACGTGTTGGTACATGAAGTTTTCAACTACCACCTCCATCATCTTAGCCCTTCATGTATCTTGGCCCCCATGTGGCTCCAAGTTCTCCCAATCGATTTCCTTGTGGTTAAAGTCACCCATGATTAGTAGCTTTGCCCTGCACGCATGAGCCCTTCTGGCCACTGCAGCCAGTGTATCAACCATTGTTCTATTGCTCTCATCATACTCTTGCCTTGGCCTCCTGCTGTTCTGTGGTGGGTTATATATCACTGCAATTACCACCTTGGGACCTCCAGACTGAAGCGTTCCCGCTATGTAATCACTTGCTTCTCCACTGTCTCCTCTCTCTCCAGCTCATCAAAATTCCATCGGTTTTTGATCAGCAGTGCCACTCCTCCACCCCCACCTATTCCCTCTGTCTTTCCTCAGGATCTGGTATCCCGGTTGGAAAGATGGCATCTGTTATTTACCTGTAAGCTTGGTTTCTGTGTGAGTTATGATGTCCGGTAATGTTTCTTTGACTCGTGCCACTCCTCCCACTTATTTGTTATTCCATCAGCATTTGTGTACCATACCTTCAGTTTCTTCTCCAACACTGGTTTGGGGGGCCTGTGAGGGTGGGGGACCTGGTAGTGTACTGTGGGATTCTATAGCTGAGTGTTGGGTGGGAGCTGTATGTATTGTAGTTTGTGTTGGGATGGTGTGATAGGTTGTGGGGTTCTGGGGATGGTTCTGTATGTGCTTGCCCTTGTTGCTCTGCCCTGCTCTGATTGACCTCTGCTGGTTCCATCCTTGTCTCCCTTCTTAACTCCTTTCACTTTTGTGTCCTCTCCCTCAGCTGCTGTCGTTCTGTTTGTGTTTTGTCTCTGTCTATGAACACCCTCTTGTATTCTGCTGAGTACTTCAACCGTGGTTTCTCTTGGAGGATCCTGTTCTGCACTGTTTCTGTCCTGAAAATCAGCTTGATCGATCGTTTTCTCCCCTTCAAGTACCCCCCTATTCTCTGAAAATTTACAATCTCGTCCATGTCTTCTTCACCTATTTCTGTGATGATGTTCTCAATCTCCTTTCTTTCTGCCTGCCGTCTTTCAGTGTGTCCTTCCCTCGCTCTCCTGATACCTTCTTTAGAGGCTCTATGGTGTCACCCCCTAAATGGTGTCACCCGGGCGGCCCGCCCCCCGCCTCCTCCTTACGATGCCCCTGTATGGAAATCACTAATGATCCCAATGGAAATAAGTTGCTAGCATGCCTAGGCATGCTAGTGGCCTTCTTTGTAATTAATATTTTATAACATGTAAACCACACATTGTAAGCTTTACAAGGAAATAAAGATTTTGATTTTTTGTTTGATTAAATAAATTTACTCATGTTTCCAGTCACCCAAAAAGCGATCCTTGGTTCTTTGGGATATGAGTTGAACCCTCCACTACTGAGGTACAAACTAATTTTAATAGCAAATTCATTTTAACAAGTAAATAACAATGACAAAAATATTTCATATTAAGCATTAAATCCATTTGGGTCATTGAACGCAGTCTTTATTTTGCATCCCATGCCATCCTGATCTGATCCTTCGCCTGCTAAGCGCCAGACACACTTTCTATTTATACTCGCCTAGATCAACAACGCCGTATAAGTAAGTTTATTCAAGTACAGGTACACATAAATACAGTTACATAATCATACATAGCAGCATATGTGTAGATTACCAAAGATAACCCAAGAAAGTCAGACATAAAAAGAGACATAGAGTACACATACCATGGGTTGTTCTCTGCCTGCTCGAGTAGATGAAAGTAGTGCTGCTGACGATTGACAATAGCATAGATGGTGAGGATTACAGCCAAGACTGTGATGACGAGGCTCACCACTGATGACACCAGGAAGGTCTTAATGGTGAAGTTCTTATACCAGAGACGGTGGGCGATGAGGCCCGAGATTCCGCAACACATGGTGGACATCCCAGACCACACGCCGGCCCCAGACCAACACGTCTCAGGCTCCACCCAAGAACCTGCCAAAGACGGATCAAGGTAAGTGTACAATATTTCACGAGGCACTAAACCCGTGTGGGTCATTCATCGTTCGCTAGTTGTGGTTTGATCTATGCCCAAGCAATGTTTGTGATCGTTCTCATTCCTATTCTGTCAACAACTTGCATGCAGCATTACTTTAATTTAAAAAATGGGATGTACTCTGGGTAAGCATTCTGAAAGCATTACAGTTTGACGAGTCTAGCAGTAATGTAAAGCCCGTAGTATTTAGACTGCATAATTTCTGGCATACTATGGCAATTAATTACTCAGTTTGAGCCTCAGTGTTATGAATGGTGCCGTATATTGTATTTTAAGTTGTCAATTCATGGTCGAAATTATTTAGCTTTAAGTTTTTCATATTTAGTATGCGGCAGCATTCACGTACGAGACTGATGCGTGCTTAATTCAAGTAATAATAATAACTTTATCAAGTGACAATTTCGTGGGTTATTCTCTCTGATACATCGAAACTACCTCACGGTAATATTGGCAATTTTTATATTAGGCAAGAAAGAATGATTCAGCTTACCTACTTAATTAAGTATTTTTCGTACATGGAATTGAAGAGCTTCGTCACCCATGAAGTGCGTGAGATTGTCTTAACAGAGCATGACGCTGGTTTACACGCCTGGCTGATGTGCAACTATATGAGACTTCGCTACCATGAATCTACCTGGAGTTCATTACCTTGTTAACTTGTTCATGATTGTGACCAGACCTACCTAGATTTTATTACCTTGTTAATTTGGTCATGATTGTGACCAGATCTACCTGGAGTTCATTGCCTTTGTGCCTTGTTCAGCTATCAAAACTTTGAGGCCCAGTCCCTGGACCCATTATGTACCTCTGTAATACCCACAGGATGGGTATGGGGTGCACAATAAAGATATTAAACTGAGTGTGATATTATGTGAGAAGTTACTTTCAAGGATTCTGTTTGGAAAATTAATGTTGTTTTGATGGGTGACCTGTAGCCTAGTGGTGGAGCATTAGTCACAGCTGAAAAGACCCCAGCTGGTCTCCTTACGCCTAATACCATGGTTCATCTATACTTTATTGGGGAAGGGGTTCCTTGATATTAGTGAAGGATTCTTGATGCAAATAATTGGAGCTATCCACCCCTTCCTCGGACCAAACCTTATTGTCTCCCATTTCCCGGGCAATTATGACCCTTACGTGTTGAGTGCTTTTCCTTGAATAGGATAATAATAATAATAATAATAATAATAATAATAATAATAATAATAATAATAATAATAATAATAAAAATATTAATAATAATAATGTTTGCCTAACGGGTATTCGTCAACTGTTGTGGTTTGGCATACTTTAGGGCAATATAAATTAAATTGGGCTGAGATTTAAAATGAGCTGAGGTAGGATAACAGTTCTTAGCCTGTAAATAGAAATGTATAATCAAATAAGTGTGTTCTAACAACAATCCTTCACAAGACAACAATGTACCTGTGAAGCACATCAGTGTGGTTGCTTCATCGACCGTGCAGGTGACTCCTGGTGGATTTTTTTTATACTAGTGTGAAAGAACCTTACAAGTAATTTCTCGTCTGTGCACAAGCGGTATCCATTAGCTCAATTTATACAATATTTTTTTTTTTTAGGTTGAGATGATAAAAACCTTCGCTATTTTTTTAATCTTAATTTACAGTTAGATAACATTCAGAGAAAACTGTTCTGTGTTGGTTATTTAAAGAGGCTGGGAAGATGGTGAATAAATTTGAGGTAGATAGATGGTGAGACGTTCCAGGAAGAATTAGAGGGTGTGAAGGAGGTTTTATGAGGTATATGATCTAACAGACACGTGGGAGCCTATTAGATAGATAAGTATGATGGAAGTAGAGGTGTTGTTAGATTCATGGAAACCGGATAACTGGACTAAAGTTTTGGAGGTGGAAGTTCAGTGCCTGCACCCTGAAGGAAGAGTGAGGAATGTTACGGCTCGAATTTAAACTGGGATGTCCGTACACAACTAGGGAATAAATAATTTGATAAATATATTTTAGTTCTCTGGGTCATATTGATTTAGTTGGAAAATGGTTAGGGACTGTACGAAGTGGATTTTTTTATTCTTTACTGCCTAGAGCTAAACCCGTGTGAGTCTTTCAGGGCAAAGAGTAGTGGAAGCTCGATCCTCCATCAGTTATTAGCTAGACAGACGCGCTACCTAACTGTAGTCTCCAGGACTTTGTTCCAGCAGAAGACTTTAATGACGAGTGTCCAACCAAGCTTATACGACGCCATCTATTTGGATAATTCACACCGTTTGTGGGAAGTTCACACCGTCTTTGTGAAGTTCACACCTTGTCTATGAATTTCACACCGTCTTTGTGAAATTCACATCGAGCTGGTGAAGGTTACGCCATGTGGGAAGTTCATCCCGTGTATATGTATTTGTGGCATTATGTGGAAGCAAGATCTACCTTGACCAAAATATGTAGTCGAAACTGTTCAAAAAATACAACGATCTTTAATTAATTATCAGATAGGAATGTAGGTATAACCACAGTCAGGAAACCTGAAGTGACCGGATCCATCAACAAGTAAACTACAGTTAAAAACAATGCACCTTAAGTCAAGTCTAGTGCAGATGTGTGGTCATGAGAGGTGCTAAGGTTATTGTCCAGTACTAGACACTATGGTTGTATAGTACGATGATTATATGATATCCAACATATAATTGATCGGTGCCACACACACTATGGTTGTATAGTACGATGATTATATGGTGTCCAACACATGACTATATAATGTCAGACATCATCAAAGTACAGTGGGCGCAACACCCTGACTGTACGGTACCAGACATACTGTAATAATTGACCGTCTCATGGCCTTTGCCACAGCACGTCTTTTCAATAACTGTCACACAATTCAGGTAGTGTCATATTAGCAAGAGCATCACGTACGCAATTACGCCATGACCTCGAAGGCAACAAAAACCTCCCGCTGTTGGGTCGATCTGCAAATCAAAGTCCAACCTCCGGCTGTTGGGACGAAGTGAAAACAATTACTCTTTCTCCTATCTACACAGCCAACATCTCTGTATTAACATAGAGGGTGGTAGCCCACAAATACTCCAGAAATCCACTAATTGATTTCATAATGTGTGTTGTCATAACGTAAGAGTAATGTGGGTCAAAATTAGATTGGGAGAATGCTAGCGAATTTGAGCTTCCCACGTGTTCTCATCGGCAAGAACGGTCAACAAACGATACCCGCACCGATGAACAACACGCAGTCAGCTTAACCTAACCGATGACTGGGAAGTTGTTGTAAGCCTAGCAACACGGATGATAGAGTTCTCGTAGCTCAACAATGCGGATTATGGAGTCTTAAGCCTAGCAATACAGATGGAGTTGTTGTAAGCCAAGCGACACGGAAGACGGAGCCGCAGACGTAAGCTGTAATAGAGACAGACATGGATGAATGAGGCGCAGGATCACATCTTATCATATATATACATGCACGTACTAGTGATCACGTCTCCACCGTTAACCTCACTAGTGACAACGGCAAGCAGCGAGGCTCGAACGCAGCTTGATAATTCAGTAACATATTTTACAGCGGTGTAGTTTTACGATTTCGAATTAGATTAGATTTTGCCACCGAAGTGGCTAGTTTATTGTGCATCCCATATCCATCCTGTGGACGGTAGCGCAAGAACATATGGATACACAAAAGGCCTAGGAACTAGGCCCCAAAAGGGTTAACAGATGTACATATGGATTTATATCTACATATCTACAGTTCATTTATCTACGACAAGCAAATTTAGGAAATTTGCTTATTATATCTGGTATCTTATTTTCATTAATAAGATATCTTGACATGTCACATAGGTTATTATACTGTCTCTGCATTCCTCAATAAGTGGACAATTACGAATCAAGCGCTAATACTGGCCACAGCCAATGGACAAGGGTCAGAGCAATAAAAGAAGATCCAGTAACCAGCTAAGGACTCCTAACATCAAAGGTGAGAGCAGTAAAAACACGAGGAAAACTTGTGGTACTGCCAGCCAGGACACAACCCTCATCACCCACCGGCACCACCACAACACATGACAGACAACAACAAACATGGCTGCTGCCACAGTCCAAGATAACTCCTTCCCAGTATTTGATGTCAAGAAGATCACCGACCCAGAAATAGCTAAACTCCTTACGATTCAGAACCAAACGATCCCCAAAAACTAACTCAAGAAATGCAGGAACTAAAAGCTAGCAATGCAGATTACCTCAACAAGATCACTGCTCTAGAACATAAACTAGACACTCTGGAACAACAAAGCAACACCCACACCCAGTCCCTAGACACTATCAACACTCTAAAAGACCAAGTCGCCCTACTTACTACCAACATTACAGAGGAAAGATCAAGAGTGGACCAACAACTTGCCAATGTCATAACCAACTTCCAAGACCATAATGACCAACAAAAGCTATCTGACGCTGTTGTAGTTAACAGCAAACATCTCCCAGCCACAGTCACCCAAGAGACCTGCATGGAGACCACCCTACAGCTTATCAAGGACCACCTTCGCCTTAACATACGTAGTGATGACCTAAAGGATTGCAAACTGATGGGCTACCAAGCAGGTAAAAAAACAGTGCTGTTAAAATTCCAAACTAGCCTACAAAGAAACAACCTACTAAAAACATCTATTTCTATGAAAACTGATGTTTACGTCAATGAGTGCCTTACCAAAACAAGACAAAACCTTCTTTATCGGCTAAGAAAATTACGCTATGCCCAAAAAATCCACCAGTGCTTTGTGAGGGATGAAAAAATCGCAGTTAGGAAACAGCCCACTGGGAAGAGAACTTCATCTCTACAGAACATGACCTTAAAACATTCTAAGTGAGGATGGACTAACAGAATCAGATTAAAGTGCAGATAATACCCACAGTCCACAGTTAGTGTTATATTGTCATAAATTTGTGCCCCCCTAAAATTCTAA